CACACACACACACACACACACACACACACACACACACACACACACACACACACTGAGTTTTCCCTTTGCCAGATTCTGCATCATCAAAGTTCCATCCACCTTGGTGGCGTCTTTGGAATGAATATGTCCTCTGTTTCAGTGATCGCACACTGAAACACACATTAACACACACACACACACACACACGTCTGTGGCCTTTCTTGTTTGATGCTAATCTGCTCTGTCACTGTGCTGGCCTAAAACGCTCCCCATCTCCCTCCCAGCTTCTCTTTTGTCGCGATTGTTTCCCCTTTTCCTTTCATATCCCTCCTCCCTCATTCCCTCTCGTCGTTCTCTCTTCCTTCTGTTCCCTCCCTCCTTTCATTCTTTCATCCTTCTTTTTTGCATGTCTTCCGTTATCCCTCCCCATTTTTTCCCCCCCTATTAGGAAGTTTTAATGGCATAATTGTCACATTCCTTCTGGCACAATGAACACCAGCAGTAATTAAAGAGCTTGCCGTTAATTATCTAGACCCCGGCTCTACTTTCCTCTTTTCTCAAACCCCCCTCCTGATCCCCTCTCTTCTTCTCTTTCTTCTCCGCTTCTCATTCGCTCTGTCCATCGCCATCAAAGTCTTCCGAAACACACCCGGCCTCCCAAAGCCTTGACTTTGAGCGAGCAGCGCTTTCATGTGAGGACTCAAGTGAAAATTCTCACTTAGTGTCCTTTTTCTTTTTACTCTGCAGCCCCTCTGCCTGTCTTTGAACCTCCAATGACAACACACATCATCTTTCATAAGACAGGAATGTGTGTGACCTGGTAATGGGTTAGAGACAGCGGGGGGAGAGAAAGAGTTTGAGGGTCTCATAAAGAGGCAGTTTTATGATGGCTCTGGGAAACTCTCAGATTTCCATAAGGCAGCCTAGGCCAAGTTTTCTCTGTCAGTGACCACTCCTCCCACAGAGGGCACACACACATACACACACCTGGGCGCTTAAAGAGGAAGTCCCTGTGATCTCTATGTGAGAGGGAGGTACCAGCAAAGGCGGTGAGAAGCCCCCGTCTGCATACACACACCCGGGTATCATGTGTCCTCCCTTATCAGCTGCTCTTTTTTCTATTGCAAAGATGTTTCACTCCTTTTCTCTCTCTTCCCCTTTTGTCCGTCTGTCATCTCTCTATTTGAATTGATAACATCCTGCCATGGAGATTCTCTGCTGTGTTTTTATTTGTTTCTTAAAGCAAAGGGACAAAACTTTCTTTAGTCCATCCTCTTCTTCCTTTCCCCAACTTCTCCTCCCAGCGTCTCCCTCCTTCCCGTGCTCTCAGTGTCTCTCCATCCATTACCAGAGCCACAGAGAGCTGAGAGCAGATGCTGTCTGTCCAACCGCCGTGCCCCATAGCATTGTGTGCTTCACCTCTCCTTCCCCCCGCTCTCCCTCGTTCCTCCTCTTCACGTCCCTCTCGGGGCTCCATTTGTTCTCCACCCAGAGAGGCTAATGTCTGTTTTCTCCTCCTCCTGCCGCCACTGTTGCTTATCCCCTCCCCGTCTTGCACTCCTTCATTCCTGACCCCCTTTTCCCCCCCTATTCCTTCACCACATACGCTACGGTGTGTTAGTGTGTGTCTGTGGGGCTCGGGGGTGGGATGGGGTGGCATTGACCGCATTTGACCTCAGGGAATTTGAGGTGAAAAGGTCAGAGTCACTGCATTGGATGCACAGTGACGCTAACAAGTATAAACATACATAAGTACCTAAAAACACAGGCTTTCACACAGGTGTAGCGCTTGTACTCAAACGGCTCTAGGGTTCTCTTTGAAAAGCGATTGAAGACAAAAGGAGGTAGAAGATGGAGCACGAGAGATGAGAAGCTGGCGGTATAGATTTAGGTTCAGACCTGCCAAAAATACAACCAGTACAAT